GGGCTGCCACTGTGCCACTCGAGAGCCACACTCAGCTTTGGTAATTATCAAGGGTTGGGGGTGTTTTACTAATCCTGTTGTGGACGTGTGTAAGTGCTTGAGTCTAAGTAAAGTTTAGCTTTAAGTGAAAGCACTCTTGTGTTGTCCTGTTTGTGCCGGCCATCTGTCGGTTGGACGGCCGTGTCTCCCCTGATTTATTTCCTGACACCTCCTCGCACAGAGTAAAGTTACCAAGAGCTTTGGATTGCAAGAACCCCGGGTAACAGTACCTGTGGAGGGGGTACTCACTGGGGGTGAGGGGCAGTGTCACTCCCTTTCATGGTGGCAGGGTGGCTGCTGCAAGCCAAGGATGCAATGACAGCCGTCAGTCAGCACCTCTGCGGGACCCCCTCTTGAGGGCTGAGATCCCGGGACTAGGTGGGTAGAATCCAGCAACTGTGGCTTGAAGGAGAATGGACCAGTCAGGGGAGGGGAGGGCAGAGGACGAGAGGGCAGATGCAGGGGAGGGACCAATTGGGAAGTGGACCAATCAGGGCTTTTTTGGAGTGGCAGATTGTCTGCTCTGCAAAAACTAGGGACATTTCCTGTTATTTTAAAAATACCGCTGGAGCAAGAAGGCTCGAAAAAGAGACGTATGGTAACCCTAACTCAGAGCCCAGTCCTGCAGCTCTGCATGTAGAGGCCTGGGAAGGTTGGGTCCTGAGGTCAGGAGAGAGAACTTTGTGATGATTTCAGCAAAGCTAATAAAGCTTCAGAAAGGAAGTTTATTCAGCAGAGATTTTCACTAAAAGAAGCATTACAAAAACTGAAGAGTCTTATTAGGTGAAGGGTCAAATGCTGGTCTTTCCTCAGTAAAGTCACAGAATAAACAAAGGTCTGGCCCCAAAATCATTGTGTTTTGAACATCACAGGCCCGATTCATTGGTATGTCTTGGCAGCTTTGGGCGGCGCCAGCAAGGACCAGTTAAGCCAGGTTTGTGGCTGCTTTGCATTGCAAGAGCTGTACAAATAAGCCAGATCAAATCAGGGAATCTGGCACTGTATATTTTAAGCCAGGCACATTTCTGAGGACTAGTTCTTTAGTTTTTTAAGATCTCACACAAATCATATACAGATGGATCAGCACAGATCCTCTAGGCTAAAAGAGTGCTTCTAGGTACCACAGGAAGGTCTGGGCTTGACGCTTAGCTCACCCTCACTGCTTTTACACTAGTGTGGCCCCACTGACTCCAACAGACTGACACCATTGTAGAGAAGAGATGCAGCTGCAGGCAGGTCCCAGTAAGGACAGGGGGCAAAACAAAATATCGGGTGCCCGGCTGCAGCAAAACAACAAATACTGTGACGAATTCTGCAGCGTCCTGTCACTAACAATGTCTGTTCAAGTCAGCTGCAGGGACTGAACCTGGGACCGCCTGCTCACTTGCGAGGATACATGCATTCAAGACTGTGAAGGGCTTTGATGAAAAGCTCTACATAAGAGCCAAGTATTATTATTACTACCACATGAACTTGATGACCAGGCCTGACAGCTTACAGTAGCAGATGCAAACCTCTGTGTTGTCTAGCCACTAGAGGGAGCCAAAGAGCCACATCGTTAGCCAAATGCCTCCAAGTCTCCCAGCGCACCTTAGCTCTGTGTCTGCAGGGACGTCCTTTCAGAAAAGTTCTTGTGGGGGAGGTGCGGAAAGCACAGTCACGTCAGCATCTAGAACATTACATGTGTTTATTTCATATCCTGCACAGTCTGCGGGGGAGGGAGGGGCGAAAAGCGGAAAGAATATAGACCTATGAAAAGTCGGCGGGAGCAAACCAAGGTTTTGGGGGAGGGCAACTGCCTTCCTTACAAATGGCACCTCTATGTGTCTATCTTTTAGATAGGCCAGCAACTGGCACTGGTTGTCTTTCACAGCTCAAGCACATCACTGGCATGTCAACAAATACATCGATCATTATTACTATCTACACTGTTTTCTCCCCTCTCAGGGATCCTGACGATTCTGGGGAATTCAGCAGTCCTTGCTACCGCAGTGAAGCGCTCTTCCCATCTCAAGTCACCCGAGCTGCTTATAATAAATTTAGCCGTAACGGATCTTGGAATGGCCATCAGCATGTACCCGCTGGCCATTGCCTCAGCATGGAACCATGCCTGGCTGGGAGGAGATGCGTCCTGTATATATTATGCCCTGATGGGTTTCCTCTTCGGCGTCTCCAGCATGATGACCTTGTGTATGATGGCTGTGATCCGGTTCCTTGTAACCAACTCATCCACATCTAATAGTAAGTAATAAAATACAATACTGAAGAGTGTCAAGGCCGGGTCGTGGGCAGCCAGACCTAGTGGTCAGAGTTGGAGTCCACAGTCAAGAGTTGAGAGTCAGCTGGGTCAGGATACTGGGAGATCAAAGGCAGGAGACCAACTTGGGATCAGAACCATGAGTCGGTAACCAGGGTCAGGCCAGGTCAGGATACTGGGGGGTCAGAGACAGGAGTCAAACTGGAGATCAGAGGTGAGGAGCCAAGCCAGGTCGGGATGCTAGAAAGTCAGGCAGGGGGAGACGCAGGAGGAAGAGGCACAAGGTACACAGTCCAGGACAGGGTGGATCCTGGTTGTTCAGACAGCTTCCTGTTCCTGGCTTAAATAGGGCAGGCCGGCCAATTGGCTGCTCTGGGACTCCACCAATAGGACCTCAGGGGCGGAACTTCAAACTGTGGCTGGACTTCATAGGTCCTGGGGTCAGCAGTTGTCAGCAGGCTGCCAAGTGGAGGGCTGATGCATGGCTGCTCCTGTGGACCTGGGTCATGACAATGAGTCATCCGGGGACCATAATAGTAGAGCATTGGGCTATTATGTTGAGAGAGCCAGTTTCAGGTCATAGGTGGCTCCCAGTTCATCTTGCTGGCTTCTGAGGATCCTTTCCTTAGGTGCCTAATGCAGGACTGTGGATTACATTAGGCAGCTTGGGACATAGGAGCTAGGAACTGCAGCACCCCAATACCTTTGTGGATATGGCCCTAAGTCTCTGTTCCTCAGTTCTCCATATGTCAGTGCAGGCGATTCCTTCCTCCCATCCTTTTTCTGTCTCGTCTGTAGTTTCAGGGAAGGGGGTGTCGCTCACTAAGTACATGTACAGCACCTAGCACAACGGGGCCTCTAGGTGCTGCTATAAATCACATAATGCCACAGTGATGGATTTCAAATCAGAATTTGGTACTTATCTGTCCTGAAACTCAGAATCTTTTAAGGTTTGTCTATCCCTGTTCCTTGGTGACCTGTTAGGCTCCCCACTCGTTGTGTGGGTGGAAGCTGGGCATTTCATTAAAGTGATATCTTTGAGGTCCCCTGAAGGAAGAGTGCAGTAGAAGCCACTCAGAGCTATAAGCAATTTGATAGCCCCTCTACAACAGGCTACTGACAGCTGTTTCCAAGTAGGCTGCACTTCATTATCTTAAATGTGTTGTCAGCTGCTCTTAGGGGGAAATGAGTAAAGAAACCATATGGTAGAGGAAGAGATCTGGCTTCAGAACAAAAGAGACAGACAATAGCCTCTGGGGTGGGGGGAAGCAGAGTGAGTCCACCATGACATGTGACCTGTTAACTAGAATGAATTGGTTCTACAGGGCATCGCTTAACAGGTAACGTTAGCAAAGCACCAATGAGAGACAAAGGCCTAGTTCCTGACATTGCTAAAGCTACTTTGCATTGGCCTGGATTTCCTGGCTACAGGGAAATTGGGCTGGTCAGAACCGCTTCCTGACTCATGCACCCCCTACCTGCAAGGAACTGGCTGGGAGAAAGGGGCCTAACCAGAATGCTGCACGCTGGCAATCCTGGCCTGCTGGCATGGCCCCCTGTAGGCTGTTACGATTCTAGAGTAGCAGCCCTGCAGCTGCTCTTAGTTGTTCCAGGGACTAGACTGGCATTCAGAGTAGTCTACACTGTGATAAAAGACCTGAGGTATCGCTGCAGCTGGCCTGGGTCAGCTGATTTGGGGTCACAGGGCTCTAAAATTGCAGTGTGGATGTTTGGGCTCAGGCTGGAGCCTGGGCTCTGAGACGCTCCCCGCGACATTGCAATGTTTAGCTCTGTGGCCTGAGCCCGTGCTCAGAGACTTGGTGCTGCGGATATTTTATCAGAGCATCGACTTACCCGCAGTGACCCAACGATCAGGGAGCTGCAGTGATAGCTCAGCCACCTTTGCAGCACCATTCCCTGGCTGCACTGGATGGGAAAAGGCCAGTTTGAGGATCTGGCGCAGAGGGCTGTGAAAGCCAGGGCACCTCCTTGACTTCAGCTGTGGTTGGCATGGTACAAAAACATTGATACATCAGAGGGCAAATGGGTCCCACAGGGCAAATCTTTTATTCCTTTAAACTAGCCCTGAAATCATGGGGTTAACGTGAGATTCATATGGACTTGCTGTTCCTTTTCTTCCAGGCAATACAATCAACAAGAATGCCGTTCGCATTTCGATTGCGTTCATCTGGCTGTGCTCGCTCCTCTGGGCCATTCTGCCTTTGCTGGGTTGGGGTTATTATGGCCCCGAACCGTTCGGCATCTCCTGCACGATAGCGTGGAGCGAATTCCACAACTCCGCCAACGGCTTCTCGTTCATCCTGAGCATGTTCATCCTGTGCACACTCCTGCCTGCGCTGACCATCCTCATCTGTTACTTGGGCATAGCGTGGAAGGTTCACAAAGCATATCAAGAGATACAGAATTTTGACAGGATCCCTAATGCGGTTAAGCTGGAAAGGAGGCTGACACTGGTGAGTGACCTGAAGAGCCAGAACAGGACAAAGCAAGCAGGGGCCCTCTGTGACGTGACCCTTGCAGGAACCCAGCTAGCTCCCTTCACACTCAGTGAGTGGGAATCTCTAGCCCACATTATTTTGCACCTATCTGAGGATCTGTGGCATTTCTCCAATCTGATCCAGCCAGGCTGTTTTACATGGGTGGCACGTGAACCCCCCATTCGGGGAGGCTAGCCCCCAGCCCCGCCCCTTCTGCCTGAGGCCCCTCCCATTCCACCCCCCTTTCCTGCCAGAACCCCAAACCTCCCACAGCAGCCAGAGGAGCCCCGCCCCGAGCCCTAGCCCACCGGCCTGCCCGAGCCCCAGCCCCAGCCACCTCAGCCCGCCCACTCAAGGCCCCGCCGGCTTCGAGGGAGAGACTGAGGGAGGGTGGGAAGAGGAGCAGCATGGGTGGGGCCACAGGGGAAGAGTGGGATGTGGAATGGAGGCCTCAGGGAGGACCCATAACTTAGCTGTTTGGGAAGGTTCAGCCTCTCCTGGCCTACTATACCCGTAGCCCATGCTGTTTTTGTAAGAGACTCAGAGTATCTGAGAGCTTATGATGATTCCTTTCTGTGGCCTAAGAAGCCAGAAAGAATTGTGTGCAACTTTCCAAGCACCTAGGGACTCCTCCCCCAGCAGCTCCAGACAGGCTGACAGGTGCACAGCTCATACCTTATAACCAGTGCTAAGATGTGGGAGAGCCAGGTTCAATTCTCACCTCTGTCTGACATTTGTGCTTGGGTCTCCCACATGCCAGGAGAGTGCCGGAGCCACTGGGCTGAGGGTTAATGTATACGGTGAAAAAGCTGCTCTCCTCCAGAGGAAAGGTGGGCAAAGTGATATTTTTGCCTGCTACACTAGCATACGGTGTGGGTTAACTATTGTAGCTATGCCATGTCTCGAATAGAAAATATGGTTTGGATACAGAATTTGGGTGAAGTACTTTAGCCTGTGCTGTGCAGCAGGTCAGACTAGGTGATCACAGTGGCCCCTTCTGGCCTTGAAATCCATGAATTCATGTTGGAAAGTGCTTTGAAAACCTCAGATGAACCCTAGCATGGAAGGGCTGACTGTTATTTTGTAAGATTAGGGAACAAACATTAATTTTTCCTTGATGAACAACATAAAGGACTCTCCAGTTCAAAGAACTTTTATTTCCTCAACTTCCACCTGCTGGTGCATAGTGTAATTTGTCATTATTATATTCCCTTGTATGCTACAGTAAACGGAAGTGCCTAGCCCAGATTCTGGGTACCCTTTGAGAAACTACATATCATAAAATAAGGAGGCTCTAGCAATTACTCTAGGATAACACTACCCCAGAAGCAACATATGGCCAAGATTAATTTAAGGCCTGGATCCTAAAAGGCTCCTAATTTCCTTTGAGGATCTGGGCCTAAGAAAGCTACAAGGTTAGAAGTGTCAGTGTTGCCAACTTTTGCAATTTTATTGCAAGTCTCACAGAATTTGGTGTTTTTCTTAAAGCCCCAGCTCCTGGAGTCACATGATTACCTGAGACTCAGCTTTTATTTAAAAGAAAAGTTTCTAGCCTCATGGTTGCAGAGAAAAGCTGGAAAAGGTGACTCATAAAGGCTCAAGAACCATAAGGCAAATAGAGAACCCAGAATAGTGGTATTTTTTTTTTTTTTTTAATTTTCAAGATTGTAAAGCTGTTCTACTGATTTTAGGGGCCTGACTCATGAACTTTCAACACTCGAGGCTGGCAATTGTGGAGCCTAGAGTTAATGAGCGCAGATGAGAGCTCATCACTTTTGAAAATCAAGCCACTTATTAGGAGCCTTAAAAAACAACAAATCAGGTTCCTATTTATTTAAAATCGTGGCCAAATTTAATAAACACCACTACCCAAATCACCTCCAGAACTGCCCTCCCTTCTAACCATCCTTCAGCCTCACCCATCTCCTAAGTCCCTAGAGACCAGGGAGACAGCTGGGTCTAGCAGCACACCTGGACATGTAACAATGGGAAAAGCAAATTCTGAAGGTTCAGGGCCCTAATGGGGCGTACCCTTCTAGCTGCCCTGACTCTCTCATACCCTCTGCTGACTGCAGCTGTGGCAGCCTCTCCTGGGGAGAGAGGCAGTCTTTTAGATAGTCATTGTTGTATTAGAAAGAAGTGATAAAAGCATTGATGCCTAATTACTCTTTGGGGAAAATCATTACTGCGTGATTCCATCCCATAGTTCTACAAATTTACATAATTTGTTCTCCCCATCCATTGGACAGCAAGGTACGTCTCCAAAAATTTTCCATCACAGATTTCTTTTTTTTTGAGGGTGGGGAGGGGGGAATAAAAAATTGGGGTTTTGACTAAACAAAGCTGTTCATTAAAAGTGTCTTCTCTGTATGGAAAACGGAAATATTTTGAGTCAGCAATGCCTTGCGAGAGTTGTAGGTCAGGGCCCTTATACTTCCATTTGCCCCCATGGTCCAGGCTCTCTGGCCATACTACACCTCCTGTGACGTACCACAGCCAGGGAAGGGAAAAAGCAGTGTTAGCTGAGGACTGAACACACTGTGCCTTTTTCAGATGGCCGTGCTTGTCAGCGTCGGATTCCTTGGCGCCTGGACACCCTACGCAGCCGTCAGCTTCTGGTCCATCTTTAACTCCAGCAATTCTCTACATCCTGTCATTACGCTACTGCCGTGTCTGTTCGCCAAGTCTTCAACAGCTTATAACCCTTTCATTTACTACGTCTTCAGCAAAACTTTCCGGCGTGAAATTAAGCAAATGAAGTGTTGCTGTGGCTGGCGAGCTCACTTCTTTAACACAGAGAACTCGATCGAAAACCACGTGTCGATGATGTGGATGGGTAGAGAAAACATACGTGCTTGTCCAACTGCAAAGGCGAACTACGGGGAGGCCTCAACCCAATGAGCAGCAGAGCTGGCTTTACAAACACAGCGGAAAAGCTTACTTCATCCTGTATTATAGGGAATCAGTCCAAGAGGGCCGTCATGATGTACGTTATGATAAATTGCTGTTGTAAATTGAGTGAAATGTTGTAAAGAACCATGATTTTTTTTTTAAAGTTAAGCAGCAAGGAAAGAGGTGTTTTGAAGGACTTTCACTTTATGAAAATTAAAATATCGGTGGATTCCCCTCTGCCCTAAACCAAACAAAACCAGCTTTAGCTTAACTACTGTGGAGGAATAAGTACGATGCTTGAAAGAGGATTTACTGATTTTTATTTTTTCCCCTATGCTTCTGACTTTATGCTGGAATCTCATGACTGTGCCTCAAGAGAAAACAACTGATAATACTGGAAGTTGAACCTTCCACCCCAAATTAGATGCCTTTAAACAAAGAAGGACAATATGCCACTTCCCCAGCAATAAGAAAGGACAAACATAGCGGAATCAAGAACACTCACCAGCTGGAAGAGACAGAGCTACGGGATGCAGCAACCACTTGCAAAATGGCCATTTTAGGGCTACAGTTGTTTGCCTCTGCCAAATTTAAAGGGCCAGCCGCCAGAAAGGCATGTCAGGGCAAGGATTCTATAAGAGGGCGGGTCTATGCTGAGGCACCTCAGTAGGACTGAGGCAGTCTTAGAGAAAGGGTCTGCTGCTGCAGAACACAAAAAGATGTGAGCAACGAAATAATCTTTTAGAATAAGGAAGCACACAGTATATTATTTGTCAAAGAATGACAATTCCTTTGACACCAGTGCCTGTGTTGCTCCTCCCAGAGTGGAACCGAGTGGTGGGTAGAAGGAACACAGCTTTGACAGTGTAATGACTTAATTTTGAGTTGAAGTCCTGTGATACCCAGCAGGGGGTGCAAGGGGGAAGGGAGAGTAGACATAGCAGGCCTGATTCTCTGCTTATTCTAGTGTAAACAGGGAATTACTTCATTGAAGTCAATGGTACTATTAGAGGAGTCTCGGGCCCCTGTGCGTCGAGAGGAGAAAGGACAAAGGCTAGGTGTAGCCTTGTGAAGGGGAAGCAAATCCCAAGTCTCTTCAGTCTGCAAAGTTGAGGGTTGGCAAAGAATGGGTGTGTCTGAGGAGACATGGGTTTAAGCCCCCTCCTCCTCCTTCGCTCTTTGCTTCACTCCTGCTACTAAACAGAAGTAACGTGGGCTCAGATGCTTTCTAGGAAATAATCAGTAGAAATTAGGAGCCTAAATACCTTTTAAGGATCCAGGCCCAGGTGTCCATGGGTCATATTCAAATTACTGCAGAACGCCACTCCCTGGTGCTCCCTCCTGTCTTGCCCATCACTTTTTGTCACAGTCTTTTACACATGAAACTCAGTGGAGCTTGTCGGGAATTTATCGAAGAAACACTGTTTGGTGGAAAATGCTGATTTGTCGAAACTGAGCCCATTCGTGGGAAAGGGTCAGTTTTGACAAATTTCCTGGTTCAAAAAAAAAAAAATTTGAAAACCCCCCTAAGTTTTGAAATTGTTGAAACCTCCCACTTCAACATTTTCTAAATGAAAAGTTCCAGTTTTTGGTTTGAAATGACTTTTCATTCCAAAATGTCAGTTAAGTTATAGTAAAAAAATTAAAGAAAGTGAAACAAAGTTATCAAAATAAAATGTTTTGATTGAGGGCATCCATTTTTTAAAATAATTTTCGGATCCTAGAGCTTGGGCTCCAGCCCGATACCAGAAGTCTACACAGCAATTTAACAGAGGAAATGTGGGGACAGGTGCATGTAGGAGATAGGCTAAGGAGTGGGGAGTGAAGGGAGAAGACTGGTTGGGCTAAGGAGGGAGAGGAGGGAGGCAGGATAGTTATTGTGACAGCTATGGCAATTTCCTGTAATATCCTTAAAATCCTTTATTGTATTAGTTTATATATTATTGCAGGCTGACACTGTAAGTAACCTCCTGAGGGGTGGAGATGTGATAGATGTAAGACTGAGGAGTTCAAAAGACTATATTGAAAATGTGCCTGACAAGTATGGACTTTTGGGTCAATGGGTATTAAGTGGATTTCCTGGGGAATCTCTACAGCACGGTTAATGCAAGTTCCCACTCCTGGTTATGCAAAATCCCAATCTTCCAAAGCTATGCTCTGAGCAGGGGGTCATTGCCTGCTGATTACCTGTAACAGAAGACCAAGCTCAAAAGCCCGAGCTGTATAAAGAAATGGCTGATCTGCCCAGTCGGGCATTCTCATTCTGGAGCTAATACGGATGATCTTGTAACCATGAGGAAAACCCAATTGTGGATTCGAAGAACTAAAACCTTCCAGAGCCCTAAGATGGAATGGGGAAGACTTCTGGTAAGCTGTCTAGCATGCATGCGGGTTCTTTTATTTTTTTTAATACGTTTTCTCTGTAATGCTTTTATCTTAAGAATAAATGTGCTTGCTTAGAAAGAGCGATGTGGTCATTTATAACTGCAGGCGATACACCAGTCATGTGCTGGCCTTTTTAGGCTGTCTGGCTTGCTGGGGATATCACAATGTAAAGCAGGGAGTTGTGCAGCCTTAAAAATCACTGTTCAGGAGGGAATGATACTCGAGTCTCCGCCCAACATAGGTGACCGCTGGGAACCAGAAGCCTAAAGTGGGTGCCTTTAGTGGACCATGAAGGGGGAATACAGGTGTACTTACCCTGAAACTGTGGCACACATCATTATCTCTGAAGATGGACCAAGAAAGCAATGAGCTAGGTTTTAGAGTGAAATTCACCCCTTCCTGCTCAAAGCCCATGTAAGCAGGCATGGAGCAGGGAACTGAAGAGTAGTGTGTGTGGTGAAATTAATCCCACTAGTTCAAATAAATTGGATACAGCAAGCAGCAGCCAGTTACAAAATAGCCACTTGAGAACCATAGCTGATGCTCTCTGCCAGATTTAAAGGGCCAGCCCCCAGAAATGCATGCTGGGGGAAAAAATCCCATAAACTGGCCAACATGCAGTGAGGAAGCACAGGCAGTCCCCAAATAAAGTGCTCTGGCTGAGTTGTAGCCTTAGGTGTACTCATGGTGTGTCAAGGTACGTGTATGCATAAGGATTGTGGCTTAAGTGATTCAGGAGAACTTGGGCTCCTAAATCACATAGGTGCTTTTGAAAATCCCACCCTATATTTTTAAGGGGCTAGGGGAACCCTTTGCCCTAACAGGAAAATGAAGAGCACTCAGCCGCACATATGAGTGAGTAAGTTATGGTTTGCTTGAATGATCAACATTAAAAAATATTCACAGTAACCATGGGTGGTTAATACAATCCATATTGTGGGTAAGTAAAGGGCAGATTATAAAGCAGTGATGGTCTAACTTCTTGAGAGCCATAAATAGGTTCAGGGCAATCATTTGTATGGCTGTAGCTAGAGCCTGTCAATAGCTGTAGCAGAGATGCCTGTCAAAAGCGCTCTCTGCCCAGGAGACGGTATGAAGGATGGATGAACAAGCTCAAGGACTATTTCAAAGGTGATTTTGCAGGCTTCAGTACGGGATGCACTCCCCTCCCTCCCCCGTTAAACACTCCAACAACAACACGCCTTGAGTGTGCTAAGCCACCATTGCAGTGTAAGGGATTTCAGTGGAGTTACACCAGGGATGAATCTGGCCCACTGTGTTTGCAGTAACTAGAACAATTAAGTCTGCGGCCCTATACAATCCACTCACGGCCAGATTTTTATAGGCACCTATAGATGCAGGCAGGCATCCAGTGAGATTTTCAGTAGCACCTAAGCAGGTTAGGTGCATAAGTCCCACTGAACTCCAGGGGAGTTAGGTTCCTAACTTGTTTAGGAAATTTTGACAGTCCCATTAAATCGGTCTAGCTGCCTGGGTCGGCACCAGGCACATTTAAAAATCTGACCCTTTACTTTTCTGGTGCAGTTTCCCCTTCTGTAAAATGGGAATAATACTTGCTTCCCTTACCTCCCTGAGGCAGATCAATTTATTTAAGAGAAACCAGGTGGTTGAGTAGTTAGAGCAGGAGCCTGTGCTAAGGAAATCTGGGTTCCTTTCTCCCCCCCCCCCACCAATTCACTGTCTGACCGGAGGCGCATCATTTAAACTTCCTCGGTTTCTTCCCTTCCCTTCACCACCTGTGAAAGGATGCTGATGTACGCCCCACTTTGCAAAGCACTGAGACTCCATACACGTGTAAAGTGCCATTATTAATGGTTGTAAAGCACTTTGAATGTGAGAAGTCATGTTCTTAGCCTGGAATTCTCAGTGTGTGTGGGGTGGGGTGGGGTGGGGGAGGGATTGCATGGCATCAGCACCTAGCACATTATGGGAGCTACTCACGCACAAATAATGAATGAAAAGTGCCGCAGGAGCAGAAGAAAGGTTGATCATGTGGTTTAAGAGCTGGATGTGACGCAGGCTCTGGGCTCAGTTCCTAGTTCTGTCACAGACTTCCTTTGTGACCTTGGGCAAGTCACTTCACCTCTCTGTACCTCCGTTCCACATCTGCAAAATAGGAATCATCCTTTCTCCAGCTGGCTAGCTGGTCTATTTAGCTTGTAACTTTTCAGTGTCCAGCATAACAGCTCTTAGCTGGGATCTGCTCGAAGAATGAAGTTATTTTATACATTCCCTTTTTAAATAATGGAAAGGTTCTACAACTAAGAGCCAAGCTGTGCAATTTTAAGAAGTCCAAAATCTTATATTAAAGGAACAAACTGGCAGTCAGAAGTAAGTGACATTTTGAGTTTCCCATTTCTGGTTCTAAATTCGGACATTTTCACTATTAAAATTCAAAAGCTAAATGGCTAAGAGTCAGATGATGAGACTCTGACTCACACTGGTGAACAATTTCTCACATGTTAACAGGCCTACTCCTGAAAGTAACTGCTCATCAGCTTGAATAAGTGGCTCACAATCTGGTTTACATACATCAGTAGAGAGCTAAGGGTTACCAGGTTCAGACACACACGCTGATCGTCAGAACGCTGGGCGCATGGACC